CTATCCTAAAACCTGCCGGTCACTTACTTAAACTATACTTAGGTCTGTTGGTCACTTACTTAAACTATCCTTAAACCTGCCGGCCACTTACTTAAACTTTCCTTAAGTCTGCCGGTCACTTACTTAAACTTTCCTTAAGTCTGCCGGCCACTTACTTAAACCTTCCTTAAGTCTGTCGGCCTTAAGTCTGTGGGTGACTTACTTAAACTATCCTTAGGTCGGTTGGTCACTTACTTAAACTATCCTTAAGTGTGCCGGTCACTTACTTAAACTATACTTAGGTCTGTTGGTCACTTACTTAAACTATCCTTAGGTCTGTTGGTCACTTACTTAAACTATCCTTAGGTCTGTAGGTCACTTACTTAAATTATCCTTAAGTCTGTCGGTCACTTACTTAAACTTTCCTTAAGTCTGTCGGTCACTTACTTAAACTATCCCTGAGTCCTGGCGACAGCCAGATGTTGCTTTCTGTTAGTGTCCCACTGACCAGTGTCGCGCCGACAGTGCGTGTTGATTTTAATAACCATGAATGAGGCCGAACAAAGGATTAAAAAAGCGACTACAGAGTGTTAGAAATATCCAAGCAGGTCAGTAGTCAGATGATTATTATGGGGTTACTTACGTAAAGTTTGCCGACCAGCGGTTTGAAGCTCATCTTGGGAACCTCGCGATGAGATGAGAGGCAATCCCGGAGACGTGGGACTTGGCGTTAAAATCCACGACTATGAAGTCTCTAAAAAAACGACACTTAAAGAGAAAAAGGAGAACAGCAACACTAGCCCAGCCTTAAAGTGATCAGTCATCCAGTTTCTTTCGTGAGATTGCTGTTATCACTGACAAAACCTCACACCGTTTTCGTGGGAGCACAGACGTTCACGGTCTGAGCAGCAGCAGGATTATTTTTCTGCCCCGGGAGCTGTGTGTGACGTCACACTGGTCAGCAGCCAATCACAGCGCTTCCTCTTGTACTGTGCTGCAGTACTTCTACATGGGTGGAAAGTAACATCTAGTACATCTACTGTAGTACTGTACTAGTAGTTCATTTTCTGTTACTCCACATCGACTTCATCACATTTTAGAGACAAATACTGTAGTTTTTACTGCACAAAAAGGATCAAGTTACTTTTCAGAATCAGATGAACAGAACCAAGACTTTTGATCCTCTGCGGGAAATTCACAAGCTACCCAGAAGTACAAAGAATAAATATATAAGGTAGTTAATATTAGCTCCACCTTTACCAGCTGCAACATTAAACTGATGAACACAATAATGCATCAGTCATTATGATCCAATAATATGATAAACATTAGTGTTTAAGTATATTTTGATGTTAATATGTCTCTCTGTTTATTTAAGTAACATTTTGAATGCAGGTCTTTTACTTGTAAAGCAGCAGTTTAACATTGTGGTACTTTTACTTAAGTAAAGGATCTCAGTACTCGGACACCAGGCGAGCAAGGTCACCAAGACACCTATGACCACTCTGAAGGAGTTACAAGCTTCAGCAGCTGAGATGGGAGAGACTCTGCATACAACAACTGTTGCTGATGTTCTTCACCAGTCAAAGCTTTATGGGAGAGCGGCAAAGAGAAAGCCACTGTTGAAGAAAACTCGTATTAAATCTTGACTAGAGATCACCAAAAGGCACGTGGGAGACTCCGTGGTCAAGTGGAAGGAAGTTCTTTGGTCTGATGAGACCAAAATGGTGCTGTGTTTGGCGGATATCAGCCACTGCACATCACCACAAACACACCATCCCCACTGTGAAGCACGGCGGCGGCAGCATCACGCTGTGGGGATGCTTCTTGGCAGCCAGAGCTGGAAGGCTGGTAAAGGTAAAGGGTAAAATATAGGAAAGTCCTGGAGGACAATCTTATTCAGTCTGCAAGAGAACTACGGCTTGGGAGAAGATTTGTTTTCCAGCAAGACAATGACCTGAAGCATACAGCGAAAGCTACACAGAAATGGTTTAAAGAGAACAAGGTGAGTGTTGTGGAGCGGCTGAGTCAAAGCCCAGACCTCAATCCAATAGAGAATGTGTGGCTAGACGTGAAAAGGGCTGCTCACGCCCAATCCCCAAAAAAGCCAAATTATTGACCATGATTGATTTATACAATCAATAAAAGGGTAAAATATCCAAGGGGGTGAAAACTTTTTATAGGCACTGTACATTGAAAGGCTGCTGCTTTTACTGAGCCCTTATTCTTACACTGAAGTTTATAAGTCAACAAATGGGTCATCTCATGCTTTGATCCTCAGTCACTCATGGGCAGCTCGCTCCAGCCGTTAACTGCCCTATGTAATGTATAACTGAGTAGTAATGTGAATGACCGAGCCCTCAGTGTGACACAAACCTTTAACACAAACACACACTCCAGGCCAGTGGGTCCCCAGGTAGAGACACTTAGTGGAGCTTCACCACACCGAGGAACAGTCGGTGCTTGACTTTTGCCCAGTGAGAAGAGAAACAACTGTTTTCATCACACTAGATCCTCAAAGTGCAAACCTTTGACAACTCTGCAGTATATAAAGGAAATAATCTACTCTTTAATGCCATCACAGCATTACTGCACTGTATGTAGAAGCTAAATCCAACAACAGACCTCCTCTCAAATGTGGTTTCTGCCAACAAAATCTTATCTAAAGTGAGTCTGTGGTGTGAATGTCTGGGGAGGAAGAGGCAGAAGATATTTGGGCAAACCTACACAAGACCATGCCGGTGTAATTTACAAAACAAACAAAGAAATAAACAAAGAAGCCAAACAGCTTGTAAAAATAAATCTAAGGACTGCTACAGTCACACGGGGGAAGCAACGACAGACAGATTGAGACATTTCTAGACCAAACCAACTGCTGTCTGGCTTCGGTCTCACTTCTCATTCACCATTTTACTGTAAACAGTGTGTTATGCAACATTATGGTGATTGATTAAATACAGTATCTTGTGACCAAAGACCTGACTTTGGGGGTGGTTACGTTAGTTTGTCAGTTTACTGCAAGCTGCCTGGGTGCATTGTTTTAGAGCATCTGAAAATAGAAAGACGTCTGTTGCACAGATAAGCATCAGAGAAAACCACTGGGAATTCTTTCATGACTGTGCTGTTTGCTCACAGTAAAGTGCTGAATGCAGCTGAGGTCACCACCTTAAGCTCCACGAAGGAAGAAAAATGTTATCAGCTTATTTGGAGAAAAGAAGCAGTAAACAACATAACACAAATTCATTAAAAACAACTGTCTCCACTCAGAAATGACCAGACCCTACATCAGGTCATTTCATTTGGAACAAACGACACATTACTCATCCTGTTACACAACACATGCCTCCCATCGCCTCCTGCCAAAGTTAAACACATGCTCCAATTAAAACTATCTAGGAAATCTGTATCTGCCACTTGGAGCACATCCTGTGGTCCTCGTTCTGAGGTCACCGACTACGTGCTCAAAAACAGGAAGTGTATGACTGAGTTATTTGCAGGCCTATCCTGAGCAAGTCTGTATTTATGGCCCCCGGGTTGATTAGTTCAGATAGCAAACGTTTGCAACAACAAATGTCACAGCAAATTCAACAATTTGCCGTCTGTCATTTGAGGAGGAATGTTTTTTAACTACCAGTGAAGGAAGATATACAAGTGATGAATCATTAGTATATCCTATGCAGGAGCAGTGTGAGGACCCGTGGGTCTGTTTGTATATTTGTGTAGCTGTGTGTGTGTGTGCAACAGATGGTAGTGAGTCAGTGAGTTTTTTCACAGAAGTGATCTGTGGAGGAAAAGGGAAAAAATAAATAAAAGGAAGGGAAACCTTCCTGAGCGTCAGTGACTTCTCTTGTGACGCCTGCTGGGTATTGTTCCACTTGCTGTTTAGGAAGGCTGAACATAAAAAACAGGAGCCGAGAAACTAAATGAAAGACATGAGCCTTAACGTGGTTCTTTTTATTGGTATCAACTGCAGTATTTTAACCCACTCTGACTGTTGCACATGTCCCATAATAGATTTTGATTTAAATGTGTTATATAATTGCATTCTGGCTGCGTTCATAGCAGAAAACAGGGCCAAGGTTTGGGTAAAAATAGATCGACATTCTTTGAACAGCAGGGACATAACAACAACAATGGCATTGCATCACCACGACATCTTCAACGGAGCCAAGATATGTTGGGACACCAAACTTATTTTCATATTAACTCAGTGTCAGTCACTTGTCTGTGGCCTTTACGCTCCCAACATCCACCACAGAGAGTGAACTGAGACGGTTATTAATCTTTGTAAAAAGGACTAATCTGATCTCGGTAATAACAGAAACAACTGTCAGAGGGTCATGACTGCCTGTTTATAGTCAAAGGCCACAGTGTGAAGATTGTGCTGAGATGCGGGGCCATGGCCTGACGCTGGCGTTGATGATATTGTTGAAGGTTCTGTCACCTGTGAGGAGGATTGGAGCTCCACTTTCACCCAGTGCGCGCCTCCTGGTCACAGAAGTGGCGTGAAAACAATAAAATGTATGGCATTATAAATTATAAATACCACAACAAATGAATTGAATTTAAAGCAGTTATAATCAATATGTGAAAGATGTTGCTTCTAGTAACAAATCATAGACCGTATACAAAAATAGATGATGTGTCAGCATTTCCTGCCTCAATACCAAAGGGAAGCCAAAACATCACCAGCATGAGAGCGACCATCTTGCTTTTGTGTTGCATTTTGAAAGCAGGTTCTGCACAGTAGCAGCCAAAGTTGGAGCCGACCGCCAGTCAGAGCTGTCAAAACGTCCGGAATGCACTCATCCAATAACTCATGAAAAACAATACTATCAGAAAAATGACCACTTGTACAAATCCTACCAAAAACAACACAAATCACCTTTGGAGAACATTTATTTGATTTGTACTTTGAATTTCTAGTCTGGCTCATGTCCCGTCTGCTAACATAGAGTGGGCGGGGTTGGTTGATGACCTACCCTCCAACCAGGCACCAAGGGGTGATCGGCTTGTGGTGGCTTCGCTTCTGGGACCTGTCGCGTCGCCCATCTTTATATATAGTTTTGAGTGTAACATAAAAACCTGACACAATTCCTGGATGTCCTTGAGTAGAAAAGGATGGAAATCTTTTGAAGACTACCTTTGTGTATCTTCAAAACGAGGACCCCACACACACACACACATGCACTGAAGCAATATACCCAGCAAAAGTAACAAACACACCGAGTGCTCTATTCCACGTGATGCAATTATTCACAGTTCCATAGCAAATTTGGGCTGAAGCTAACCTCATAACTAAATGGTGTGGCGCCTCTTGCACAAACCAGATCTCAAAACAACTTACTGGTGTCAGTAGCTTGGCTTTACTGCATCCACAGCTTATAAGAAAAAGAGGTCAGCAGAGTGAGTGTGCAGCGATAATGTATTTACAGGCAGTAATGTGCAAACAGGATTTACTGTGGCTGGAAGCTACATAACTGAGCCTCTGCTTCAGAAAACCCATGCATTATATGTTGTTGCTATTTGCACCAAGCTGAAGATCAGAGGTGAAGGATTTTGCAAACAAAGATGACGTTGTCATGGTAACTGGGAAGAAACAGATTTAAGCATAGGAGCACTGAGGTAGAGAAAGGAAACAAAAGAAGAAGAGATTTGGTGAAAGAAAAACAAGATTCCAACTTTTGTAGGTTAGTTCTCATGAGCTTCACATGACTTGCATTTAGCTGCCTCCCCCCCCCCCCCTCTTTTTCTTTTACACTTTTC